TCATTTGTGCTTGTTTTTGCTCGATAAGTGATGAATGAATGGCTTTATTGTATCAGTGTGGCTGCCATCTGTCTGTTCGTTCGCCGTCGTGGGAGGAAGCGGCTTTATTGATTCGATTCTGAGCTGAATGTCCCGCAAGTTTCCTTTGCAAACTATGCCAAATCTTGCAGTTAAATGACAAACAGGCTGACAGAAAAGAAAAATGACTCTTCTAAACGTGTGCCAGGACGTGAACATATTTCCCGAGGACATCCCTCGCAGCCTGGGGAGTCACATTTTGGCAGGCTTTGATTGGTTTGATGGTGTCTGCGTCCTCGCGGCTGAGCAAGCACGCTTGTTTCTCAACATACGAGACCTTTAAGAGGATTTACAGTGTTTTGCGAGCCGGGAGCCTTCGGGTTTGTGTCTCATTAATACCTGGGAATCTCTCTGGATTTGTTATGGGATGAAATGAATGTTGCGTACTTGCTGTCGTGCTATGAATTGGTGTAATCCTTCTTCAATTCAAGGTCAAGTTATTGAGGTCTGCACTTCATTATTAAGCTCTAATCTTTATTTAACAATTGATATGGTGAATATGTTAATAGTAACCAAATGCTTTTGTTTACAGTGCGTAGTTATAAATATAGAGGCCATATATATATATATATATATATATATATATAAAAAAACAATAAACCACTCACGTATATATAAATATAGAGGACATATATATATATATATATATATATATATAATAAAACAATAAACCACTCAGAGTGATTTTTACTGAAGGTTAGAGGTATTCTTATGCAAACAAAGTCCCTCTTAATGGAGGCAAAATCACTAAAAGTGGCTTATTGTAGTTCAAGTAATGTAATTTATATTGTTCCTTTGAATACTTGATTGGTCAGTACGGTTCATCCATTTTATAATATGCTACATTATTTAACCCTTGTTGTGCTAAAAATCCTTTACCTAATTTGGTGTTATGTTTTATTATCACAAAAAAGTGATAGATTGTAGGCCTCGTTGATCTGAGCTTATAAAAATAAAGGTGCTTCACGATGCCATAGAAGAACCTTTTTGTCTAAATGGTTCCATAAAGAACCTTTAACATCTGAAGAACCTTTCTGTTTCACAAAAGGTTCTTTGTGGCGAAAGAAGGTTCTTCAGATTACAAAAAGGTAAGAAAGAGATGGTTCTTTAAAGAACCATCTCTTTCTTACCTTTTTGTAATCTGAAGAACCTTCTTTCGCCACAAAGAACCTTTTGTGAAACAGAAAGGTTCTTCAGATGTTAAAGGTTCTTTATGGAACCATTTAGACAAAAAGGTTCTTCTATGGCATCGCTTGAAGAACCTTTTGAAGCACCTTTATTTTTAAGAGTGTACACACCTCATTTTGTCGATAATTATTGTAATTTTCACTCAAAAACTGTTTTTCATAAGCTCATATCATTGAGGCGTACGATTTATAAGCTATTTTTGTAGGTCAGTAATTTCAGGAACACCGCAAGAGTAACAAAGTGGCGGGAAAAAGGCCAAAAAAGTACAAAAATAATTTTTTCGAGGAAGTTGTTACACCGTGTGTGAGCAAAGTCAGTAAGTTTTAGTCCAATGCTATAACATTAACTAGCAATTTCAGGGAAAAAGAAAACCCTATGAGTGTCAAAATGACCAGAACACCACTTAAATAAATAACAAATATTTTTTTGGAAATTGTGCGGTTGCCGCACAATATGAACAGTAAACAAGGAAACAAACTCTACTTATAAAAAAAGAATACGATTTATTGTAATACTTCATTTGATCATAATATAATGTAATATTTCTTAATGTACATAGAGTATATACTTATTTATATATTTGGGCATAAGCTACTACAGAGGACATGTACAGTAATTAAAGCAAACATAAAAAAATACATCAGAATATCATTGGCACAGATGTGAAGAATACATATTGGGGAAAAAACTAAAACTTAAATGAACACGTTACAGTCTCACAGTGAATACATTTTCATCTTTTTTCACATTCATGGCTTAATACACAGATCTGGATGAAAAAATGGCTCTAAATTAAGAACTACCCAACTACCCAAATGTACCCAACATTTACAGAGACAAGCTGCCTCTTAATAGACACACACACACACACACACACACACACACACAGACACACACACACACACACAGACACACACACACACACCCTAAATATTTGATTTGAATGGGAGTTATTTGGGTTATAAAAAAGAATAAAGAAAAAAGCAGGATTTTCTACTGGGAGTTGATTGGCTTGTGAAATGTGCTCTCCTAAAACTAAACCAACCGGAACCAAAAAGCCTCTTTGTCCATGAAGAGATATTCGTACGTAGCAGTGTATTTTTGCAAATAACATTCTAATCTCAAATATATTATAGTAGATGTTTTGCAAATGGTTTTTAGCATGAAACTGATATGTGGGAAAATGAAAAAATAAAAGTTAAATATAAATAATAAAATCAGAAATACATTAACGCTTTTGAACTTTATAATTGATAACACTTGACTGAACATATTACAGTCTGAAAAATAATGTGGGTCATTGAAGGGTTTAAATGCTTTTAGGGGATAGGATATATACTGTACCTCTGTGAGATGAATAGGTGTTTTTACAGCATCTGTGTGACCGTATTTTACACACACCTGCTTTTGCCCTTGGTCAGTATTAACACTGCAGATCAGCTCTATTTCCGTAATTAATATGCTTAACTTGTGTGAGCAAACTCTGCCATCAGCCCAAATTAGCTAGCAAACAAACAAACAAGCTCAGTGCAGCAGAGCATGATGGGTAATGGAGCGTTATGCCTGATGGCTCCTTCAGTGGCAAAAGCAGCGGAGTCACGTGACACGGTCATGTGTACTGAGAGGCGGAGTTAAATGAGTGTCAATCACAGTGACAGTGTATTTACTGACTAATCAAGCGTCAGTCAGCGTGTACATAAAAGCTCAGCGGGGACAGAAAGGGCATCTTCTAGCTCTGCTGACACGGCGGTGCTGATCTAAACCCAATCACCTGCTGCTGACAGCGGCTGAATGAGACCCAGAACTCACGGGAAAACAAGAGCTAAAGATGCTGAAGGAGGTGAAAACCTGAGGTGTGAGATGTTAGTGTCACCCTGGAGGAGCAGACAGCTGAAGAACAAGCTTTATGGGAAAACTAAGTGTTATGGAGCTGCAAAGAGATCAAATTGAGGTCAATCCAGTGTAATACAATACAATAAATAAGATAAGCTGCTCCAGTGGAGTACAGTGGTAAAATGGACCAGAAAGAACTAAAAACACAGGAAATTAAAATGTTTTGCTTATCTTATGACAACCAAACAATGCACAGAAATTTGCTAACAGAACATGTTACCTGACAAAGAACAGACTATAAAATATATAAAACAAACACAACAGGGCTGCAATCACCATAAACACTGGGACATTTCCCTCGATTTTCATGGGGTTTTCAATTAATGCTTTCTAACAGAAACAATAAATATGTTAATGAAAAAAGCAAATGTAAAAATAAATAAATAAAAATTAAAGGAATCAGTGCTGAAAAGCAAGGTGTTGAAGTTTTAGATATACTACCGTTTGAAAGCTTTTTTTGTTTTTTTTAAAGAAATTAATACCTTTATTCAGAAAGGATGCATTATATTTATCAAAAGTGACAGTTAAAGACAATGTAACAAAATATTTCTATTTTAAATAAATGCTGTTCTTTTCAGCTTTTTAGTCATCAAAAAAAAAAAAAATCAGTAAAAAAATGTGTCAGTTTGCACAGAAATATTAAGCAGCACACTGAAGACAATGAAAGTAATTCTGAAAACGGGAGTATTGATGCTGAAAATCCGGCTTTGCATCACAGGAATAAATTACATTTGACAATATATTAAAATAGAAAACAGGGTCCCACTTTATATTAAGTGGCCTTAACTGCTATGTACTCACATTTAAATTAATCATTTGGTACAATGCACTTATTGTGTACATACATGTTTTTACATTGTACTTATATTTTAACAATACCTGCATGTAATTATTTCCGTAATTAATTTCTGTAATTACATTTATAATTACACTGTTGACCCATCCCTTACACCTTAACCCACCCTTAAACCTACCCATATCACCAAACCTGTCCCTAACCTTACCCTTCTTACCCACCTCAATAGCAGCAAAAGTATTTTGCAATACAATATGAAGACAATAAGTACATTGTACTTATTTGTTGATGTAACTACATAGTAGTTAAGGTCACTTAACATAAAGTGATACCGAAAACAGTTATTTTAAATTGCAATAATATTTCACCACATTACTGTTTTACTGTATTTTTGATCAAATAAATGCAGCGCTGGCGTGCAGACAAGTTTTCTTTCATACACATAAAAAAAAAAGAAAAATCTTATCAACCCCAAACTACTGAACGGTAGTTTCACTGTATTTTTTTGACTTCACCTCAGTGGAGTTCCGTATATATGATCTGCTTTAAATCTTTCCATACAATCAAAGCCTTTTCTTACAAACATATTGTCTGTTGTATGTGCATGAAATCAAATTCTGTACTCCTTTTGCAGTGTAAGAAAGGAAGAAAAGAAAGGACCACATTTCAGAATGCAAGAAAGAAGACCGGTTGCAAATTCAAGTATCGAGCCTTGCTGCCCTTCAAACACTGTAAGTAGAGCATGAGCGTGTTCTCTTAGTGTTCAGAAGAGTATTTTACAAAAGAACAACATAAGGAAATACATTTTCTAGTCAATGTGATGGCAAAACCTCTTTTCCATTTATTTGAGCCCATCCGATCCTGAATATGTAGTCATCCTGAATGACAGCCATGGATGCTCATTTAAACAGCAGTCTTACTTGAATGTATCATTTTAAAATCAGCTTTACATGACTGATTTGATCATATTATTGTCACCTTTGGAGTTACACTCCTTTGTGTTCCATGAAAGAAAGAAGAACACAGGTTTGGAGCGACATGATGGGTGAGTAAATGATGACCAAATGTTCATTTTAGTGAACTAACCATTTAAAATGAATGAACGTAACATTGAAATGAACATTGATCGAAGATGCTTAGAAATGCTCACTTTTTTGATAGTTAAGGCTGGAATGGTAAACACATTCAGAACATGTTCTCTGTGCACCCAATGAACACGGTTACAGGGGAAACCGACAGAATGTATTCCATCACAACACATAAAACCCAATGGATTTGGCTTATTTCACAGTGAGACTCGCACTTCACAACATAACAGTCGAAACACACAAACTATAAAAGAATGACTCAGTAAAAAGAGACATGAAAACACTAACGTAATGAAAAACTCAAACACCAATGACTGAATTTACTCTTCAAGTATAAAGCCCTGTGATATTGACCTCTTCAAGTTACGAACGGCGCAGCAAATATATGTTCGGTGACTGGAGGGAATGAAGAACCAAGGCGGTTGTTACAAGACCAGCTACACACCGAATTTACATTCACATAATTAACTCTCCAGTTAGGATTATTCAGTGTTACGTTACTACGTCATAAAGCTTCGTTAAGGTGTGTGTAGGCCTCCAGCTGTTAGTTTCCTCTATTTGCTTAGTATACAATGTTCTTCCTGTACAGACTTTACATATGTGAATTCACATTCACCGTCTGAATCTTCAATTTCAGTTTTTTCTTTGTGTCCAAAGACTGAAAAAAAAATTCCAGAGCTCATTAAGACTCTGAAATGAAGTGTGATTGGCTGACGTGACGTGTAATCTGATTGGCTCTCCCACTCAACTCAAGGCATGATGTCATCTCGAAAGCATGGCTATTTGAAGTAGTTGAGCCCGGCCACCAGAAGGAACTTCTCCAGGAAGAGTTCAGAGTCAAGCACCGCGATGTGAGCTGCGCGTCCGATCAGCGTGTTGGCCGTGTTCGGTAATGCGTGGAACACGTTCTGCCTGATCAAACGACAATTTGGAGCGCTCCGCAATGGCTGGAGTAAGTTATTGATCATCTCTGTATATACTGGACCTGTTAGAAAGCAAATACATTTATCACACACATTACATTCAACATATGAAATATTATATGACATATTAATCACAAATGTACTATAGTAGATGTTTTGCTGATGCTTTTTAGCGTGAAATAGATATATATTGAAAAAAAGAAAACAAAAGTTTATATATAAGTACATATACATACATATTGTTTTATAATAAATAAATTAAAAACTTTGGGCTTAATATATATTTTTTTCTTTTTGAAAGAAATTTTATTCAGTAAGGATAT